GTTTTTCCTCAAAATCAGTTTTTTGTTGCTACTGCTCAAACTTCAAAATTTAGTTTTATGATTAAATTTCAGTTCATTCAAATGATACATTAATAAGGCTTTTATTCATTATATTTTGACAAAATGCAATTTTTGTTAACATTTTAGTCAAAACACTTTATTTTTACCTTTTTCTCCTGATACAACGTTTAGACTTAATCCTTGTTTTAYATAAAAGTATTAATTAATGGGAGATGATTCGTCACACAGCAGTATACTTTTATTAGTCTTTAAGTTTTAAATCTAATATTAAAAGTGTGAATGCTGTTCTGTTTAAATTTGAACTCAAAATAATAAATTATAAATTACTTTCTCTTTTAGATTCAGTCAAACGTCTCATTAAGTCCAGGTCTAAAACTGACTTTTATTTGCTGATTTATTATCTCACATGTTGTTGTATTTATGTATTATTACTTATGAAATCACTACAAATATACACATCATTCATGTGACTGCTGATTTTTATTATTTTATAATTGCTTGAGTAGGATTATATTCTGCTACCAAAAAATCAAAAATGAGTTATATTTCAGGCCATATCTGTGTGTTTATTTATTAGATGACTTTAAATGAAACCTAGAGGAAATAATTATTGCATTTATAATTACTGACCATGTCACTATGGTTACCACWGCCAACAGACCTTAAAACACTAAAACTGTTGACAATTTTACAAAACTTGCAGGAAATCTCAGTGTTGGTTGTAGCTGAGAGTCAATCACAACGTATGTTTGAAGTCTTACAGAAACTTCAGCATATCTCTGTTTTATTTGTCTGTTAGCAAAATATCTCATAAACCACTGGACAGATTATAAAAACACTTTACGTAAATAAGCACTGGATTCATCTGTAAACCTGATTAATTTTAAATAAATTAACTCAACTTAGCCAGCTCACTTTGATAAAAAAGAGTTATAACTAGTGATGCTCAGTACTGCCAGTTTTCTTTCTGATACTGATACCAAGTAAATGTGTCTGGTATCAGAGGTACTGATCCGATACTGATACTGTGTAATAACACACATGATGTGTAAATCTTAAAAAGTAGTGTTTTTCAAATAATCGCTTTATAAATAATACATGAGAGTCATTTATTTAATTTAAGTCTTTCTAACCCTAACTCTACATTTGTTCAGCACAATTTTAAATTCTTTTTCTAAAGAAATATAATAATTTTTGAATAAAAGTGAGAAAAGTATTCTAAAAGTTGTTACTTTGTAWATTGTGTAGCGTTGTTTGTGTGTTTGTAAGAAGGTCCCTGTCCGGAGCTAATGCTGGGGGCCGTGGCATGAAAAAGTTTRKGAACCCCTCATCTAGAAATTAACTACAGTCACACGAAGCAGATTATATGTTAAAATGACCTGCCGTACCTGTACAGACTGACTGAACACAGGCCACTGTACTGATGTATTCTTCCTCAGAAGAAAAAGTAGTTCCTCCAACCACACATGATTTAAACAAGATTTAAATAGTTTAGTTATTCTTCCTGTTAATTATGAACATTATGTGAAACAACTAAAGTATCAAAGTATCAATATTTTTATTTTAGTATTGATTCTAGTACAAAGTTCTGGTACCTGTAGTATTGATATTTCAGTATCGATCTGCACATAACTAGTTATAACAAAGTTATCAGAAGAGGCTATTGTTGCGATGATAGCAGCTATTTTATCTTTAATGTGTAAATTATTTGATATTATAACATGAYAGCTGTCATAATAAGTGTTTCAGCTGCACAAACCACAAACATCATGTTAGTAACTAAAGGCACATCGTTTGTTGTTTAAGCTTTTTCATATTTTGCAAAGATACCATAAAAAACTAAAAACTGCAGGCATAATAGTTATTCTTCAGATTCAGTGAAAGGAGCWTGAATGTAGCCAAGTAAGGACAAAGTGCTGCAGTTCTTCAAATTTACACAAGAAAAGTCTGACTTTTCACACAGAAATCATTCCTGACATTTCCTTTGGGATTATGAAGTAGTTTTTATTTAGCTGGACGTTCAGCAGCAGAGTGTCTCTGTGAGTTCTGTTCATTATTTAACACATATTTATTATAATGGATGAATTGTGTTCGGTGGTTTTTAAAGCTCTTGTTGAACTACCTTCGGTGGAGGAGGACAAGTCCTGAAATCAGCAGCTGTCTGTCTCCCTCCTCTGTGCTGGGTCTCCTGAACGCATCGTACCACACCGTCCTCCCACAGAGGGACCACACCGGCAGCAGGGTGCTCATATACAGGATCAGTACGTATCTGTGTGTGTGTGTGTGTGTGTGTGTGTGTGTGTGTGTGTGTGTGTGTGTGTGTGT